GTGGGTCATGCCGTCGTCAATGTGTTAATGATGTATCGTATTATAGAGTTTTCAAAACAACAATCAAATCTGGCGGTGGTGGCGTGAAAATGCAAAATTGTACAACGTCAACTGACATTGCACGGTTGCTAGATGAGTTGCATACGCTATTATCGAATGCCTTAAAATGCAATAGGAAATCCAATTGGATTGGAAATATGTTTAATTTTTGAATTGTCTATGGGATTCTAATAGGAATTGAATGAATTAATTTGAGAATGTTGAGAAATGCAACTATAATCTGTCTGCAAACTGTCACTGTCACTTGATTCACGTCATTCGCGTTTGGCAAGTGGAGCACCAGTCGAGATCTATACCACTACTACTAACTACATAACTTTAGGATTAAATAGGAGAAAAGTGCACCGAAATGCAATCCAATATTTGGAATTTCGTGGCCTCATCGATTCGGGTGAGTTACAGCAGATTTCAACGAACCGGATTGGAGAAAAATCACGCTCGTTTCACTCTATTGTTGTGCGAACCGTTTACGTAACATAACCCAAAGAGTGCGATTTTTTTTGCGCGATATTCCTCGGTTTATCCTTTCGCTATTGAGAATTGGTAGAGGTCGAAAATGCGAGTGAATGTATGAACAATTTTGTGTTGCAGCCGGTGGTCGCGAAAAGATGTCAAACTGGATTGCTGTACAGCGTGCAACACAGGCAATACTCTTCGACGCAAGAAGCTGATCTCGTTGTGATCGGATCAGGTCCTGGTGGTTATGTGGCATCGATCAAAGCTGCCCAATTGGGCTTGAAGGTAATATTGTAGTCTTACGATAGTAGTTATGATGATGAAAGAGATTTTGTGTTGCAGACTGTGTGCATCGAGAAGAATGACACCTTGGGTGGAACTTGCCTCAACGTTGGCTGCATCCCATCCAAGGCCCTCCTCAACAACTCGCATTACTACCATATGGCGCATTCCGGAGATTTGGCGAATCGCGGAGTTTTAGGTAAAAAACAAATCGTAGATTATTTTGATTGAATTAGTTAATAATGTAATCAAATTCTAGTTGATAATGTGAGGATTGATTTGGAGAAGTTGATGGCGACGAAATCTGGCGCTGTGAAATCGTTGACCGGTGGAATTGCGCAATTGTTTAAGAAGAACAAGGTTACCCATATCCAAGGTCACGGCAAGATCACCGGGGTCAATCAGGTGACGGCGACGAAGAGCGACGGATCGACGGAGGTGGTGAACACGAAGAACATCATGATCGCGACGGGATCCGAAGTCACGCCGTTCCCGGGGATCGAGGTATGGGAATATGCGAAGAAATGTGAAAAAGGGAAAAATATTATTAGGATTTTTTTTTGGTAGATTGATGAAGATACCATTGTTTCGTCGACCGGTGCTCTCTCCTTGAAGAAGATACCGAAACGTATGGTCGTGATCGGCGCCGGCGTCATCGGTTTGGAACTGGGATCGGTGTGGGGACGTCTCGGCGCCGAAGTCACTGCTGTCGAGTTCCTCAGTTCCATCGGTGGTGTGGGTATCGATGGGGAAGTGTCGAAGACCTTCCAGAAGGTTCTGACCAAGCAGGGGATGAAGTTCAAGCTGGGAACGAAGGTGACTGGAGCTAAGAAGTCGGGGGATGTGATCAAGGTGGCTGTGGCCGACGTGCTCAACCCGGACAAGACGGAGGAGCTCGAGTGCGACGTTCTTCTCGTGTGCGTCGGCAGGAGGCCGTACACGGAGAATCTCGGTCTCGAAGAGATGGGCATCGAGAGGGATCAGCGCGGTCGCATTCCGGTCAACTCGCATTTCCAAACTGTCATTCCGAACATCCACGCGATCGGCGATTGCATCCACGGCCCCATGTTGGCGCACAAGGCCGAAGACGAGGGCGTGGTTTGCGTCGAGGGTATTTTGGGCGGAGCCGTCCACATCGATTACAACTGCGTACCGTCGGTCATCTACACTCACCCGGAAGTCGGCTGGGTGGGCAGGACGGAGGAGGATCTGAAATGCGAGGGCGTCGAGTACAAGGTCGGCAAGTTCCCGTTCATGGCCAACTCCAGGGCGAAGACGAACAACGAGACCGACGGTTTCGTCAAGGTGCTCTCCGATAAGGGAACCGATCGCATCCTCGGCACCCATATCATCGGTCCGTCCGCCGGCGAGCTGATCAACGAGGCGGTGCTCGCTCAGGAGTACGGCGCGTCCGCCGAAGATGTCGCCAGGGTCTGTCACGCCCATCCGACGTGCGCGGAGGCTCTGCGGGAGGCGAACTTGGCCGCCTACTGCGGAAAACCAATCAACTTCTAAAACTCCGCCCCCCCTTCTTCTTCTCTAAGCAAAGAAAGAAAAAAACATTAAAAATGATGGTTAGTATTTAAGTCACCCGTGTTAACGGCAATATTATTATATCACTTGTACATACTTGAACAGTTTATGAAACAACAAGCAACAACAATAATAAATGAAGACGAAACGAAAATTAGAACAAGTTTCTAGGCGCCGCCCATCCGCCCACATTCATCACACATTCGCGAGTAATAAACGTTTTAATTTATACAGTGTTGTAGACTCTGCACATATCGTCGTATTTGTTCTGTTCCTCCTCTCTTCTTCGTCTTAATTGTTGTCTGTATATATATACTAAACAGAGAAATAAGGTGTAATTATTATTGTTTTTGTTTTCGGATCCAAATAAAATCAGGAGAAACGATTTCCAATCTTTTTTTATCCAACACACATTATATGTACATGCATTCAAAAGAAAAAAAGAGACAATTAATGATGCATCGTCGTCGACCGACCGACGACGGACGTTCGTCCTCCATCAGCGCGCGCCGCTGTGCTAGTAATCGTCACCTCGGGACACGATCTCCTTGCACGTCGGTCTCAGCATGATGGTGTGCTCGAACTGGGCGGTGTAGCAACCCTTCGTGTCGCAGAGGGGCGGATACGCGTCGACCACGCCCTTATCGCACAGATCCTTCAGGGCCATCTGGTATTTGGTGGCGCCCGCACGCTCCAACCAACGTTTGCAGAACGCCAGCGTGCTGAAGTTCTTGTTGATGATGCTCAGCACAGTTTTGGACGATTGCAAGCTGCAAAGAAAACAAAAATAGTATCCACAAACAATACATTAAACATTTTGAATAGCACTCACCGCAAAGGAACGTAAGGCATATCAAAGTTCTTCATGTAATGAGAGCAGTCCATGTCGTCGTGTACGACACCCCGACCAGTCGATCCGAAAGTTTCGATCGCGTAATACTCGTTCTCCTCCATCTTTGTAGCTTCGCCACCCTTCACGATCGGAACGGTCTTTCCAGCGTGTATTCCTAAATTCCAAACCAATTAATAATAATTAAGAAAAAAACACGAAAAGAAACACTTACTGTACGGCGAAATGGAATGACCATTCAAATTCCTGATAGATTTGATCGGATAAGTTTTACCATCCAATTCGATTTCGTACGACTCCATAACTTCTTGAATCGAGGCTCCGATATCGCACAGCCTCACGTCGATACCTTAGAAACGAATTCAATATAATCGTAACGTTAAAGTAAACTCATCGGACGACTTACCGGCTTCTCTGATACCAGTATTGGTCGCATCCCTCACAGCCTCGACGAGTTTATCGTATTTCGGATTGAAGGTGAGCGTGAACGCGCAATCGATGATCCTGCCGTTGATATGCGTGCCGAAGTCGATCTTGGTCACGTCGTCGTACTCGAGGACGGTCTTGTCACCGGTGTTGGGAGTGTAGTGGGCGGCGCAATGATTCCTCGAGCAGCCGGTGGGGAAGGCGAGGCCCGCCTTCAGACCGTTCTCGGCGATGAGTTTGCGTGCGGTGTTCTCCAGCTCCTCGCAGATTTGGATCATGGTCATACCGGGTTTCACCCAACGCTGGATATGTTGTCTTGTCTGAAAAATAACAATTATATTAGATAAAAGAAATCAGCAACTTTCTCAATTGCGTTATTAAGATCTTATATATGCTAATAATTCAATTACAGCTTTCGTGTTTCATTGCAGGTTTCTCCCCTAGGGTATTAAGAATCTATAATATCCAATTGGAATAATTAGTTAGTTGATATTCTTTTTTGTTATGACTCAGATTAATTATAAAAACAAACATTGTTGATTGTAACGACTAAAAACAAAAATAAACATTATCAACACAAAAGTGAGGATTAAGGCCTCTCCTGCATGGAAATCATTGCTTGGTAACAGCATTAATAATAGCGCCAGATAAATGCGACGCATAAACAATAACGTGTTTTTGCAAAAGGATGAGCAATGAATATTTATAAATATATATGGGAATCGAAACTAAAAAAATGTTATACCTGTCTGTGGGCCTCCGCAGCCAACCTGACTTCGTTGTAGGTGTCATTTTGCATCCTGTCCAAAGCCTTCTTCTCCTCAGAGGTGAACCTGTTCTTGGCGGTGCGCTCATCTTTGCCAATCGGGTACTCCATGATCTCACCGACAGGGAAGACCTGATCGGGGAAGAGGTCGACGATGGGAACGCTCGGTGGATCCGTCTGCGTCGGCTTTCCACCCTTCTTGCGGTTCTTCTTTTTCTTGGGTTTCTTATCGGCGTCGGCGGCTGCGACATCATCATCACCTTCGGCCGCCTCCTTGACCTGCACGTCTCCTTCGACGTCGTTCGCGGGCGGTTCATTCTCCGCACCCTCGCCACCAGCTGCAAAAACGAAACAAAAGAAAAATTAAAACAAAAGTTAACACACACACACAC